AAATCATTTGTTATGGATTAAAAACTGGTGGTCAATTTAACACCAGCTGAATTAAATCAGCATGGTGCTGAGTGTTGCTGGTCCACCTGAGGAAAGTTGCCAGCATAAAAGGAGATGTGGGGAAAAGTGGGGTGTTGTTTGTTCTCCTAAGTGTTGTTTGGAGCCATTGGTTCTGGAGGAGCTTGTCATGGCTAGCAACTCCGAAATGAATTTAGCTATTTTCATTGGAAGAGCTCAGGACCTTATCACTGAGAATGGCTGCGGTTCACTTTGGAGGAACGCTGGTCCTTACATTGAGCATCCCTTCTTGGCTCCAGAGGGCAAGATGTGTGCTGTTTAATCTCCAGCAGAAATTGGCACGGTGGCTTCCTGATATGTCACACTTGAATTCTGATCGTTGAGGAGCTCGGGACCTCATTGTCACTGAGGATGGCTGTGGTAATTTTCAGGGATGCCCTGGTTCTTATTTTGAGTCATCGCTTCTTGGTTCCACTGCAGAACCTTCAATCTACTGCACAAATCCTTCACCCTGCTGGCGTAGACTTTCTAGCTTCTACCGATGACCTTTGGGCCTTCTCTGTATATCCATAAAACAGACTTGAATGGGTCATTGTCATGGGCTCTAGGTTTCAGCTGGACTCATGCAGAACATTGCTGTGGGATCCAGACCCTTGGCTGGATTTTCTAGATCTTTAGTGTGGTGAACAGATTTCCTGCATTTTCTCTATTTAATGCTGGGTGATTATCATAAAATAGTATAAATTCTGTATCCTGTATGTAGTTGTTTTCCTTGCAACCCCTGCCTACAACATCATCATTGTAAATTCTTTGTAAATTATAAAGCATTGTATTTCTATAAGGGTAGGAGAGGAGAGGGCTTATAGGAATTACTTGGGAACTTTTTGAAAATAACTTTCTCCACGTTCACCTCCTATTCCCAGTAATGCACCAATATACAACTATATTTGTTTTAACAGCTGCTTCCTAAATGTAAATAGTTTGTAACTGTTTAATTGCTTTTATTTAAAGGAATTCCACATTCTTCTGTTGAAAGTGGAATATAATGCAGTAACACACGTTGAAGAGTGCAAAATAGTGAGTGACTTAAAATCCGTATTCTGTGTCATTCTGTACAAACTTGTGACATACTGATTTTCAGAGAATGTGAAGAAAATGCTACTAATTGCTGTTGAAACCAAATTTAAACCATATAAATTATGAATGTAATTGAGGAATGTAATGCATGTCTAGTAGGTGCCATAGAGATACAAGTTTGTAACTTGGAGGACATCAGCAGTGAGATTTCCTGATTTGGGGGTGAATATTATTAGCTTTTTAGGAGATTTTGGTGTTGCTGATTAGTAGCCTGTTAAGTTTGATACGGGTTTTTTTAGTCTACAAGTTTGAGATTCAGGACACCATTCAGTAATCTAACTGAAAACTGGAGAAATCTGCAACTAAGGCATGGCGTTACATTAGAATAGGAAATTTAGCTGGAAACTAGAGTTGGTAGTAAAGGGTAATTGACTGAAGGTTCTAAGGATGTTGCAGTTTGGGGGACTTGATATATAATATCATTTTCCCTCTCTGAACTCTTAGCAGACTGAGAAAACAGGAATCAACAAGTAAAGAAACAAGATGCAGGAAACACCTTTTATTAAAAAATATTTTTTAACCAGGTAAAACTTAGCATGCCATACAGTTTTCTATTTTAGAGTGTACAATTCAGTTTTTAGTACATTCACAAAATTGTGTACTCATTACTATTAGAATATTTTCATTAGGTTTCATCGGGGGGGGTCGTTTGTTTTTGTTTTTTGAGACAGGGTCTTGCTATGTAGTGAACTCACAGCAATCCTGCCTCAGCCTCTCGAGTGCTGGGATTATAGGCGTACACCACTGTACTAGGCTTTCATTAATTCTTAAACCTCTTAGGAGCCAGTCCCCACCAATGACTCCTTGGTGTTCAAGTTTTTTGTTAAGTAAGTTATATCCACCTACCATGCAATTTTTGGAGAGGAGTAAACTACTAGTAGTATTTAGAGAAGTCATATCTCATAAAACTGAGTCCAACAGAAGTTTTCTTCTCTAACAAATGTGAAAATTAAGCTAGAAACCCAAAGGCCGTGCTTAGATGAGAAGGCCATGCCACTTTATCAAGATAGGAAGTACATTAAGTAAAGATGATGAATTCAATTTCAGACAACGCAAATTTGGAATTTCAAGGAAGGGATATTAGATATTTATGTTTGGATAGCAGATTATTCATCCCTGCTGGAGACAAAGATTTTGAGATTCATCTGTATACATGCGATTACAATAGAGGGCCAAGTAAAGCACTCATACAATAAAAACAGAGCAATATCTTTGGTTTTGATTATGCTAACTGGTGTTTCTGCTGTGTATTGCTATGAGTGGCTTGCTTCTTTCTGGGTTTTATGACTGATTGAATTAATGTATTCACATCATTAATTTTATGATCCTATTTGTGGAAGTTTTTTAAAGGCCTAAGTCAAAGAGGATTCCCTAGGGAGAATTTGCATTTGCATGTGTTGAGGTTGAAAAGGAAAACTGCCATCCTGCAGTCACTGTAAACAACTTCTAAGTATGAAGCTTTTAAAATCATAAACATGGGGGAAGGTCAGAATATGGTTGTGAACTATCAGAGGAAACACCACTGCACTGCTGTCTTACCCTTATCTCCTTGTCTACACCTGGTGCCAATGTTAAAAATGTAGTTTTCAGTCTGGTGTGATGGTGTATATTTGTAACCCCAGCCTGAGCCTGGAGCTTCTGACGTTTGAAACTAGCCTGCTTTACATTGCAAATTGCCCATCTCCAAATCCCCTCACCTGTAACCTCTCCTCTTCCAAAGCAGTCTTCCTTGTAATTCTTTTGGGTAAGACCTGAACTTCGCTACTTTTGCTGGACCTCAAGAGGCTTCAAATTAATTGAAAATTGGAATTCATATAGTTTGATAAATGTCCTAACGGTGAAGGAAAGCTAGTTTTAGTACTCTGCATATCCCCCTAATTCCCTGCTTATAGTTAGTTTTTGACTTCTGATGATACCTAATTTTTTGTCAGGTTTTTGATTCATTTGTAAAGATTTGAAAATAGATTATCTAGCATTCCAGTTATTTTAACTGAACATGGTGACCAAGCCATCTATCATGTCATCCTGGCAGAAATAAAATCATGTCTGTCCAGCGTATGCAGGACACTTAGTTGTTGGTAATTTAGTTAGCTTCTGAATTAAGTTATAAACTTAGAACAGAATCCAGTGTTTTTGTTGGCTTACATAATATTTAGAAAATAAAAAATCGATTTTTAAATTAGATTTTGGATTTCTTCTTTTGAAAAACTGAAAGTTCTTACAATAATGGGCTGAGCAGGATTTGGTGACACATGTCTGTAATCCCAGTCTTCTGGATGGCTGAGAAAGGAGGATTATAAGTTTGAGCTTTCTGTCTAGGGAGCTTAATAACTGAGCAAGGTTCTGTTTCAAAAAATCAGGAACTGAGGATGTAGAAAAGTGCAAGACTCTTGAGTTCAGTGCCCAGTACAAACCAAACTTCACCCTGCGCCCCCGCCCAAAAAAAACCTCTCCCACCAACAAAACAATGGGCCTAAAACACTCTTTCTTAGCAGTTGATTAGAGCTGACAGTAGAAGGCGACTCCTTCCTTTCAGACTAAACGTGGTCTCTTTAGTTGTTCAGTCTTACATCACTTGTGCAGTGTATTCACACATATACATCAATACCTGTCCTAACTTACTTCATTTATATTAATGTCTCAGTTATTTTTCTCATTGCTGAGACAAAACACCTGGCACCCTCAAGTTAAAGGAGCAGAGATTTATTTCAACTCACAGTTTGTAGGAGTTTCAGTTCATAGTTGGCTCCACGGCAGATGGGCATGGGAGAAGGGCATCAGAGGAGATGCAGTCCATGGCAAACAGGCAAGAGATTTGCAAGCCGTAGCAGCAAGTTTGCCTGCTTTCTGTTCCTTACTTGTATGTTCCATTTAGGCTACAAGTCTGTTGATTGGTGCCGCCCTTACCCATGGTGGGGTTTCTGTTATCCATCCTTTTAATCCCAGTGTCACACTCTTAATCCACATTCACATACTTTAATCCAGCCACCTTTGAAACTCTCTGTGAGCACATGGGAGTTTGGAGGGGAGGAACATCTAGATGTAAGTCATAATAACAAGAATCTTTGGTGTTTGTGAATCATCCTTTCTCTTACGAAAATATTCAACACTGGCACATCCTTGGGAGAGTAGCACTAATAGACATTTTCATATATGTTCACTTTATTACTTAATTCTAACAGCAAATCTGCAATGGTAAAGCTATAAAAGTGTTATACAGGTGTTCCATTACCAAATTTCAGATAAAGAAACTGAGGTTTGTTGAGGTTATGTGAATTCTTTAAGGTCTCAGCAGTGTTTCAAGTTAGAATTTAAATCTAGAATTCATTCAGACAGAGCTCCTTGTGTTCCAGTGTTAATCTTAACTTTTTTTTTAAACAATGGAACTATTTCTTCAGATGTTTTAGTGAAGTTTAGTAAATAAAACCAATGAAGGTGGCACTGCTTTCATGGAAGAGATACATGAATGGGGGAGCAGTTAATGTTGGAACCAGAGATCTGCATGCCCAATTTGATGAAGGCTTAGGCACCTTTGTGGAATGCTTGGGATTTTCTAAATAATTTGGATACACTAAGCATTATCATTTGTCAGATTATGAAATCTCAGCTCATTTGGATGTCACAGTTGTAGTATGCTTGCTTCTTTTTTTACTCTTCCTGATGTTTCTTCTATAATACCTCTTCCTATTCAGTAGCATTTCTCATTCATGTGAGTTTGAGTTCTGATAATGGTTGTTCTTTTAGTATTCTATTTTGTTTTTCACAGTTTTAATTAGAATTGTAATGTGATTTATAATTTAATTTATTTTGGAGCATCTAATAATTAACTCTTGTTTACTTTTTAGATTCTCTTTGTGGCCAGATGGGTTTGTATGGACAGACTTGTCCATCTGTAACTTCATTAAGGTGAGTGTTCATTTCTTTTTCTCAACACTTAAAAGTAAACTCATTTGACACTGTATTTCAAGGTGAAGTTCATAATAAAACACTACATCTTGTTTTGTCAAGTAGTGCACTTTGTATAGTGGAGAGATTTTCTGCTTACAGAGATTTTTGTAGTAATGAGATTTGGAAATATTTGTTTCCATTAGTAAGTTTAGTGAACTGAGTGAACTTAGTAAGGTTATGGTTATTTACATGAAATAACATAATTTTACACTTCCTTTGTTGTTTCTTAGCTTTGTATTTGTTTTAACCATAAAATAGTAAATTTTGATTGTTCATAGCAAATTATTAAAAGAGACTACAGATACTAATTTTATATTATCCTCTTTTACAATATGTAAAATACGTGAAAAAGTAAAAGTAAGTTATTGTATACATTTCAATGGTTTTAGAATTTTGAAGTCACCAGATCCTTCCTACAGGTTAACTTTTACGTGAAGTTCAATGAATAATGTAGGTAACATACTCTGCTTACTTAGACTTCCATATCTACTTTCATAGTATCTTTTGAGGGATTTTTGTGGTTCCAGTAACAATTTGAAAAATAACCTAAACCTGATTTTTAAGTTGTAACCTTTTGGAGTAGAATATAAAGTGTGATGACAGCATCTGTTAGTTACATGTGGTGTTGCAGTCAGTCCTCTCATTCATTTAGCATATCAAATACCTGGTGCGCTATTTAACACTATCCCCATAATCGTGGAATATACCTACTAGTGGAGAGAAAATTAACAAAACAAGTAGAAATATCTGTTAAGAGAGTGACAGTGATTAGGGCTAAGATAATTAAAATGGAGGACAATGTGAAGTAATGAGGATATGTGTTATTTTAGATAGGGTAGCCAGGGAAAATCACAGAGAAGGTGACAGTTGAACAAAGAACTGAAATAGTGATGGAATGAGCCTTATATTAAGTATGTGGAAGATGACCATTCTACCCCGAAGAAATCCAAGAAGTGCCCAGGCAGAAGGTTTCTCTGTGTGTTTAAAAAATATTGAGGTCTATGTGGCTGGAGCAGAGCTGGAAGAGAGTTGGAATTATCCTGTTATGGAAGACATGAGAGGAGAAAAGACAGATACAAAGTTACTAGAGCCATAAGTGTGAAGCTAAGGAATCCTTAGGATTGAGAGAGATTCTAGTTTTCTAGAATACTACAAAAAGAAAATGAACAGTGAAGCTGTTATTTCATTTTTATGTACTTCTTCCTCAGTAGAAAAACTTTGTGCTTTTATGGCATTTCTTTCTATGGGAGTGGAAATAGATGAAAAGATTGCTTTTCTATTTCCCTTGAGTTTTTTTCCCTTCCTCTGTAAATAAGAGACATCTGAATAGCTCTGAAAAGAGCTTTTTTTTTTTTTAATAAAAAGACTCATAATTTCTTTAATCTTCCAAGCTGTTGTAGAACTAATTTGACTCACTGATTTCCTTTTAGTATGATGGAGATAGTCATTTTTCTCTCTCTTTCAATACTGTATTTAAAATTTGGGAATGGTTTCTTCAGGATATTTTGATCTTCCAGTCAATATTTTTCCTTAAATATGTTTTAGTGGTGGGGTTACAATGAAACAGTCATATTAAGGCTGTTCACCAAGTGGATATTAAATATGTAAGTCAAGGTAGGGAGTGGAATGGAAGTGTGTGAAAAAAAACTTTGGACACAATTAAGATAGTAAATGAATTATAGTTGTTCCCCCAGTCATCCTAAATATTTAGAGTAAGTATTGTTTTCTTAGAGATGATATTGGTTCTTTGTTTAATATAGAAATGTATTAGGATTTTGTTGTTTTTTTGTTTTAGTTTTTGGAAATTAGGGTCTCACTGTGTAGCTTAGGCTGGTCTTCAGCCCACTGTGTAGTCTAGGCTGTCCTTGAACTTGTGGTAATCTTCATGTCTTCAGCCTTCCAAGTGTTGAAATTATAGGCATGCACTACCACTCCTGACTTTATTAGGATTAAGAATTCTTACTGTATTTTTAGGATTAAAAAGTAATACTTCATAGAAAGTATGGAAATAAGAAGTACCATTTAATATTTTCAATTCACATAATTTTATTTGCTTATTTACTTTTAAAATGTCTTCATTTAACATAATTTTATTCATTTATTTACATTTTTTGAGACAAGGTTTCACTTCGTAGTTCAAGCTAGCCTTGACTACTTTGTCATCCAGATTGACCTTGATCTCATGGCAGTCTTCCTGCCTCATCTTACCAAGTGCTGGGATTATAGATGTATGCTACCACCAGCTAACCTTACATTTTAATGAAAGTTACAGTAGCAATGTTATATTCTGTATGAGACAGTTTTGTTTCTTTAGTGTTCTTAGCCTAGGCAAAATCCATACTAGTAATTTAAACAGACATGCTTTATAGAGAGAATGGTTAACTAGATATAAAGTTGTTAACTAAGTAATAGAAAAGATAAAAATAAAACTTGTATGAAGATAAGACACAGTAGGGTACCAGGTACTACCTATCAGATTCAAGGACAAGGAAAAAACTTAGAAAAGAAAGCCCCTTTGAACTGAGAGTTAGACCTACTAGGAGAAACTGCAACAACACTTACGCTGGTGTCTGAGCTTGGATGATGGGACTTGTCAGATTGACAGCCAGATCTCTGTTGGGGGGATGCTAACATGAGTTCAGATTGTGATGGATGTAGTTTCTGTGAAACAGTAGAATCTTAAAAATTTAGCATAATCTATTTGATTCCTGAATTTCAATAAGCTGGATTCAAATCCCAAAGAACTTTTATTTCTGAGCAAAGTTTTAATAAGATCAAAAGCTTACTGAATAGTTTATCTAGACAAGTAAATACGATGTATATATCACATGACTTCTTTCACATAATGTAGCAACAGACTGGTTTTATAATTTGATTTTGTCAAAGCAAAATAATTTGTTTCTTTGGGCCTGTTGAGACCCTGTATTTCTCTCAATTACCTAGCATATTTTAGAGTATTGATTTTATGGTTCACATATATATATAGTTTGAGACACTGGTTTACAGTAGCACTTGAAGTAGTTTCTAATGACAATTACTAATCTTTCTGAAACTGCTTCCCCTTTTTCCATGTTTTTCTTGCCTGTTTTCTTTCTGTTAATGCTTGTCCCTTAAAGACACCTTTTATTCTTGATTTAATTTCTGTTTACGAGTAGTATATACTAGGAAACACATAGGGATATTTTAACATGAGCTTTCCCACAAAAATGTTAGTGGCTCATATACATTTCCTATTTATCTGTTTATTTCCCTCATCTTGATATTGATGACCCTGATGTTTCAAATGATCAGAGAGGTAGATTTATTTTAAGGTCTCTTGCTGCCTTGTTTCCAGTAGCAGGCTTGGTATTGACAAGCGTTCTGGTGTGTAGTCTTAAAACGAGGTAGGTGCAGGTTCAGTTCTGTCTTGAGTGCGTATTAGCCATGTAATCTTGGGCAAATTACTTTTCTGTCTTCATGAGTTTAAACATATACAAAGATGTTGGCATAATTTTTCTTCTCTTCCATTTCCCCTAGTTATAAAACAAGGAAGTTTGTCATTTTTAAAATGAGAGAATGAGACAGAACTTTTGCTATTATCAGCTCAAGAATATGAGCTCTTCTATTTCCTCTTCATCTTAAAATTCTTACATTCTAGAATACCCAAAAGTGTTGAGATTTACCATTGTCCTTTGAACTAAGGAAGTTGCTATCATTTAATACTATATGTTTGTTGTATTTGTAATTCAAAAATTTTTTTAAGGCAATGTCTCGCTTTGTAGCTCAGACTGGACTTAAAATCATATAGTCCAGGCTGGCCTTGAGCTCAAAGTGAGCCTAATGTTTTGACCACCTTTGTGCTGGCATTACAGGAATATGCAAATATGCCTAGTTTAAAATTTTATATTTTTCAGTTTGTTCCACACAGCAGCAGAAGTAGCCTTTGTTTACCATGTAATATATTTTTCATTGTTAAACATTTCTGGATTTTGTAAAATCTTTTTTTTTGGTACCGGGGATCGAACTCATGACCTCAGGCTTGCCAGGCAGGTGCTTATGCCACTGAGCTAAATATCTGCGATTTTGTACAGTCTTATTTATTTGCATGTTTTAAGATGGCATGTTCCATTTAAATGGTGAATAATCTGAAAAGTCTAATTTGACTACTCTAAAACAGTATTTTGGATTTTTGGGGATTATCTTTTGACATTAATTCAAAACACGTAAAATTAGTACTTAGTTAACAGTATCCACATTTTAAGTGTTCACCAGCCACATTTGGCTAATGTTGTCACATTGAACACCACAAACATTTCATTGTTGCAGTAAGTTCTGTTGGACAGTAATGGTATATGGATCCTCTTAATTATAATTTCCTCTTTGAACTGAGAACCCTAATGCTCTGGGGCCTTCATTTCTGAACAGTTATTAAAGGAGTACCATTGCTTTTATAACAGTTGGTGTTGTTTTACTGGTGACTTCGGTAGCTAGTATTTATGTTGTACTTTATTACATATTACTTTACTACAAGAGGCATTATTTCCATTCTCGCCACATACCCTATTTGAGTACTTTACATACGTTAATTAAATTCTGTCAATAACTCTGTGAGGTCAGTACCATTATTTTCCTCCTTTCACAAGTGAGTAAATAGAAGCAAAGTTAAGCACTTCAAGCTGATCAGGGACAGGTCTGGGTTTCATATGTACTGGTAGGTCTTGCTTCAGTGCCCGCAGCGCTCTTAACTGTTAAACTCCACTGCCTCTTAGCTATCAATATGTATTGCATTTCAAGGGTTTAAAAAAAGAGAGAGATTTTCCAAAGAGATATGTAATTGGGGATAGTGTAAAATAATAAGCACAAAAGGGAAATACCAATGCAGGAAATTGTGGTGGGAAAGTAATAGAAAACCACTGATTTAATTTTAAAATATATTGTATATGATTGAAAAAATCTTGTTACAAAAAGCAGTAGTTCTT